AGAACTTAAAAAAAAACAGCAGGTAAAGGTGTGTTGCTATAGTTGCTGTTTAGTGTTAGTCTTTGCATTGAGTTTGGAATTTTGGTGGTGGGTCCAACTTATTGTTTATATTTTGATTACAGATTGTGACTTGCTGTTGCTGTACTTCAATGCAAACCTTCTATTACGAGTAGTGTGACATGACAGGGTAGAGGGAGGACATTTGTAGAACAGTGTTGTGTTTATAATGTCACTATGTCTTACAGGGAAAACACTCAGAGTGTAGAATACACCCATAACCAGACAACCCACACCTTTGTCTTGTAAGCTTTTGTGACCTAGTCTGCTACGTGTGTTCTTGGGCAGTTGAGAGGAGGGACTATGGGAAATGAAAAGCTTGGAGCTGATGAGGATGAATAATTGGATGTGCAAAATAATGGAAAAGGGATTAAGAGGAACAATGAGGTGGAGAGGGAAAGGGCACTTCACGTCGAAACAAATATGCAGGAAGCTGAACTCAACCACTACGATCCCACCCGCCTCCCACAGCCATTGTCAAGGAAAAGCTGAGGCTCAGGTGTCAGTGTTTTCCTCTAGCTCACCATGTGGAACTCATGTCGTCTCAAGTGACCTACAGGTATTTTCATGAAGAAAGTAACACCCCCTCCACCATACAGAGATGTTATTTGATCAGCAGAATGTTACAGACTACTTCACAGCTTTTTGTTGTTTGAATATGTAATAGAATAATTGGTGATGCCTTGGTGTTTCAAAGGCTGTAACTGCTAGACCAAGAGACAGGCAAAGTTAAAATCTGATAGTAACCTGTCCTGGAGGCTCTTAGACTTGATATGTACTGTCGGCCCCCGTGCTGAGATATCATCTCAGGTGGTTGGTGAGAGCTGTGGTAGATGGAGGGTTTCTTAAAGAACTGTCACCTTCTAACAGGGTTATAACAGCTGCTATAACTGATGCAAGTAGAATGAAATCTGTTGGCTTTTTTTTCCTAGCTGCACCTGTGGCTTTTCCATGCACTGTTCAAACACCTGGTTCCCACTGAATATCATCCCCACACGTAAGCCTCTCACTGGGATTTTTTTTCTTTATTTGTGCAGCTTTAAATTATTTGTATCCAATCATAAAGGCTGAATCGTCCATATTCAACCTGAACACTGTCATTTCCAATTTTAAGTGACACCTGTTGGTTACTGCATACAAACTTAGATATATTACTCTTACATTAATACAGTACTGCTAGATATGAAGTCATATAAGCAGGTATATAAGCTGTGGTCCATGTTTTTGATATTTCCTTTTTGCAAATGTGTTATATTTTGTGCTTTCATACGGTGCATACTAAATCTCTCTTTTGGATAATAAAAGTGAGCTAAGCTGAGATGAAAAGCAGGATGAGGTCTGTGAACTGTCAGGCAATGCTGCATAATCTTTGTTCTCATCATCCTCCATCTCTTTGTACCATCACATCAGTGATTCCTCTATACACTGACTGAAATGTGCCATGCCTGGAGCAACTCATTTGTCCATTAATACCTGAACATGTCTGTCCTCCATTATTGTTGTTCTAAATTAAATGCTGCTGTTATCTGATATAATGCTCCCAGGAAATCTTGTCCCAAAACAGTGGTTATTTGTTGAAGTGCAAAGATTTAATGTAGAAATATGTGTGATTCAGTTGTTACACCACTAGGCCTCAAACTAATGATTACAATCAACCAACAATCAACATCAAATGTAAACTATTATTGTTAACCATGTTCTACAGAAAAGCTTTTTTCTACTACAGTATACTATGCACTTATAAGTATGTGATTTTGACAGTGTTATGTCCTTTTATAACTCTGAACTCCAACAAGCTGGATTTGAAAAAAATAAATATTAGAGCGATGACTTTGAGCTTTGATTTGTGGTGTTTACATTCACATCAGCTGAGCAGTCAAACAGGGGAAGGATATGTCTCTTGACAAAAAGATGAACCTGGTCATCATATTTAATTTTGGTGGCAAATAGTTTAGGTTAGTCATAGGTTATTTAGTCAATTCAGCATATTTCAATGTGCTGTTTCTGAGCAGAAAACTGATTTAAGAATTGATCTGATTGTCTTACTGAGTTTCACTGGAATAACCGTGGATTCTGCAGGGAATACTTGGAAGAAGACACTGGGACTTCTAGGACAGTACAAACCAACGGCATCTGACAAACACTGATGTGACAATCAGGCTACAACCTTGAAGAGATGTTTCCTGCCCTTGTCTTACCTTTATTTCTACCTGTCCTCCCCCAGGTCGCATAAGTAAAAGGAGGTCTCTTCTCTCCCAGTGTCACTGTTAACCAAACTGAGGCATTCTCTGCATCTGCCACCACAGCTGCTCCTTCACTATATGTTACTCAAATACTGAAGAAAACCACTCCATCATCTTCGGCACACAGCACAGACCCTCTTTGAATTTCTTCATCCTTGCTTGCTATCTTGCCTCTGGTTTTCAGTAGCTGTTGTGAGTGCAGTTACACTGAATCACAGAACCTTGTCCCAAGCCTCTGCTGGATGTACAAAACAGGTACAAAATGTGTAAAGAGGACTATCCCAGTGAAAATTCAAGGTTTTGTATCTCCATCTTCTGAGAAAATGTCTTCAGCTGGTCTTCTACTCATCCCTTACTTTTACTAGCATGAAGTCTATCCTTCACATTTCCCACAAAGCTGTAAAATTTTGCCTCACTGCTGATTATCTAACCAGTTCCCTCTATCAATCTTTTGCAATCTGATCTAGTTGGACTGCTGTTCTCTCTCTCACACACACTCTCTCCCTCTGACTATTTCTTGCTCACTCTCTCCCTTCCTCCCTCCCTCCTGTGGTGTCACAGAAGCTGCCATTTGCAGCCTCCCTCCATCCCACCCTCCTTTCTCTCTTTTACCCTCTCATCCTCTTTTTTGTCTTTCTCCCTCCGATATCATGGCACAACCAGTTGACAGCAACTTGATGCACAGATGTATCATTCAGAAAACACTAGAAGACAATCAACCATCGTGTTTGATCACATGTTAATCAAAAATAAATAAAGGCTACATTATGAAGATGAAAAGGCTTCACACCAACTTCTTACATAAAACAACCCAGAATTTGCCGCCTTTTCGAGCCCACCTGCTCTCTTTTTGCTCTGAGATATGTCCTGTTATCCCTCATAGAAAACAGACCGCCAATGAAAGAACCCTCATTTAAATGAATCCACTTGGCCTGTGCAGCATCAGGTAACAACACTGTGACCTGTGATGAATGACTGTGTGTGGTGTACCGTGCAGAGTCTATATTGCTATATCTTACTGCTGGGTTCTGTGTCTCAGTTCAGAGTGATGCCTTTCACACTTGTCACCAACAACTAATCAACAGTTGACTTGAGGATGTGTGTGCTCATGTGCATGTGCGTTTGACAATATGACAGTGTTGCCACACCAGAACGTCTGTGTCACAAGAACTGAAATTTGAGTACGCCGGTCCCTCTAATGCTTTTGTTTCTACATATAAAGTCTAAGTCTTCTAGAAAAGCACTGTTAACAGAGGAAGTGCTGCTGTCTGTGTTCACACAGGACCATTGTCTTGTTATGTCACTATGCTTGCAGTGAAACATTCAGTGGCCCTGGATTTTGCCTTGAGTTGTTTGTGGGAACAATCTGTAGCTTATCTCAGTTGCCACCACCGTTAGGTACAATACTGTTACCCTTGACAGCTTCAAAGTGTGATAATACTCTCAGAGTTGAGTGCCTGCTTCCCTTTTCTCACCTCTTTTCATAGAGCCAGTCATCAGTCAAGCAACAGAGATGACATTTGGTAAGAGAGGGGTCTGAAAGAGTGAGAAGTTTCTAAATACAGCCATACTGGCTGAGCTCTAGCTTTATCACCAGTGATTCATCAGTGCAGGAACCCTCTCTCTTTTTTTCTCAGTTTCTCTGTCTATGCCCCTATTTTTTCATCCCTCATAGCCTCTGATTTCAGACTTTTGAGGGTGATTTGCAATAGCCTGTGTGTGATCATCACAAGGCTATTGTGTTTGGCTGAGGACGTCAACTAATGGAGCACAGAGCATCCTTTTAAAGCGCCTCTGGGTCTGTGTCAGCAACAGGTACTGTACCGGCTCTTGCGTAATATAAGGCTTCGATGCCATGATGCTGCAAGCCTGGGGAACAGTAGATCACAAGGTTCACACATCCAGATTGTAGACTTTGTTATGTAACTGCACCATAATCACAGGTGGCTCACATATCGTTTGCATGTCTGTATCTAAATGAGAGGGTTTTGCCTTCCAGGGAGATGGGTAAGTGGAATTCACTGTCGCTTCCATGGCTACAGGTATAACACATTTTCACTATTTTTACACCAATAAGAATGAGTAGAAATGAAACAAAGAGAGATGGAGAAGTAAAGAAGAATGGATGGGGGCTGTTGGTCACCCAGAGGCTTCGGCTATACTAAGGCCAATGTGATATGAGAACTGGAGATTATCAGCAGTTAAATCAGTAATATAGAAGTTCAATTTATAACCACGATGTCCAATTTTTTTTTTGATTGAACTGGTAAATTTGAAATGATTGCACGTTAATACATTATAACACCAGTTACACCATGTCTGGAGCCATGTTTGATTGGCTCCAGTCAATAGGCATTTACAAACGTCCCTCTGATCTGGTCATTTCATAGCATTTGACCTGAAATGCTTCCATGCAGTGCAATATTGTGACTCTTATGTCTGTGAGAAAATGCAAATTCATCAGCTAAATAAGTCAAGAAAGTGAGAAATAAAAAACACAGTGTAGCTGTAAACAGACTAATTTGGGACCTTTGAATAAAGTCTGATTGTGAAAATGAAGCGAGAAGTGACACGCTCTGATCAGAGAACGAGATCTCTCTCGTCAGTTGTATACAGCAAGGTGTAATTTGCATTTATCACAAGGGCCCTAAGAATAAACTTCTCACAATCTTTCTGGTGATAGTAATTGTGGAATTTCATTTTTACAATGACACTTCCCTACGGCAGGACACTGCACAGGATCTGTGATGGCTTGTTGCTGCTGGCAGCTCAATCTCTCGCCATCAAAATGAAGAAATATCATCTAAAGCGATGCGACACACACAATGTGACCTACATACAGTATGTAATATGTGCTGTGTTAGTGGTGTGCGATACTTCTCAGCATGTGTATTCTCCTAGTTTAGGCGTCAGCTTTACAGAATATACAAAGCTCCTGTTCTAAGTCACACCTATTACACCTTATGAAAGATGGTTACATTAAGTCATATTGAAGTACATGGTAAATGAAACCTACCATGTGTTTTTTTTTATGCTTCAGAACCATAGCTTCATAGTGTCACTGGACCTTCCTCTCCTTCTTTAACAAATCATTTTGTCCCACATTAATAAGAGCTGTGAACTTTCACCCTCCCTCCCTCTCTCGCTGCTCAGCTTGTCACCGAGCACCCCAATCACATTATTCCCTGAGACTCCTGTCTGATGCTGCTATTTCAGGCTTCAGAGCCATTCGTGTTCATTTCATTTTTACAACTTCATTTCTTGTCAGCAGGGATTAGGAATGTGATATTACTGCACTCACACTGGCTGAAAGAGTTGTGAAAAGGCCTTCTTGTTCTTGGAACCAGCTGGTCATTGTTTAGCATGGTGGTGGTGGTGGAGTATGTCTATGTGCAGGGGAGGTGATTCACTGTTAGACAGGGTGGAAATAACATCTTACACAAAGTTACAATTGCTCAGGGTATAAGCAGAAAGGTTTGGTTTTATAAAGGCTACTGTGTTTTGTCAGTTTTCACTTTGAGCTGATTGTTTTCAGACCAGTGGTTTAACATCGACCACGATGTCTAGTGGCTACCTACTAGTAGTGATGTCCATAGCAAGGTGGAGTCAAGACCTACTGATGATCTCCACTTCATTTCACTGCTAAGCATGCTCACAAAGTGAGAAATGAAACCTGTGTACAACCTTCACCATCTAATAAGCAGCCCTGTCTCCTAGAAACTATGCTTATAAAATACTAAACTTTTTTTTTTGTTTGTTCTATGTTGTAGTGGAGAATCTGACTGAAAGCAAGATTAATGTTACATCTACATCCACAGCGTTTCATGTTAAGTTATCCTACTGCTTCATATTGCATGTTTTTGTATTTTCCTCGTGTGTCCCAGCGGCTTCTGTGCTTAATTCTCTGGATTGTAGATGAATATGATTA